AGGTGCCCACAGCACACAGCTCTGGGCAGCTCTAAGGTGGAGAAATTCGTGGTCCGCAGAAGGGGACCTCGGTGACACCTACTTGTCATGTGCTCTGCCAGAAAAAAACCAAGAAGAGTCTTTCCCTGCTGGCAAACTAAGGCTGCATGTTCAGTCTAACCAGGTCCCTTGTGTCCTCCACGGCCACCCCTGTGGTCATGGCTCAGAAGCACAGATGTGACTGAGACCTCAAGACTCACAGAGGATTTGAGGTCCATCCCCTTCTACTTTGGCTACAAACTCTGGGCTGTGTATACATGTGTGCGACAATATATCATGACACTACGCATTTATGTAGACACACAAATAATGCATGGTGTGCACATATATGTGAATTTATATAATTTTCTATGCAGGAATATGTGTGACACACATGACATATCTGCTATGTATGCCATGTTTTATTTATACATAAATATGGTCCACTGAATAACATGATTTGAATGGCATATACCATTTTATATGTCTTACATCCTCAGGTGTGTGTTACATACACAAGTTTGCATAACTTTGTATCATTACTATGTCTTAGGATGCACAAGGAACATTATTTTCCATGTCAGGAGAATCGCTCTGAGCATCACCGCTCCTCTGGGTGGAGAGCATTTCTGTGTGTCCTCAGGACATGGATTTGCAAGACAGGTGCCGGGCCCAGGAAGCAGTCATATAGCTGTGGCCCAGAACACCCAAAAGCTCCCCCAGCCGCCAGGGGCCGCTGGCCCAGGGAGGGGGCCCACTGGCCACTGAAACAAGACCAGCAGCCCAGGAGGAGGAGGAGGAGGCAGAGACTAGCCAGAGTGTGGCCTCAAAGCCCTGAGTCCAGTGTCCCCTACACCTTCCATTCTTGCAGTGCTGGGCACTGAACTCAGACTGAGATGCACTTGCTAGCCTTGAACTTGAAATCCTCTTGCCTCAGCCTCCTGAATAGCTGGGGCTGTGGCATGCTCACCACACCCATTCTTGTATACATTTTATAAGAGAAAGCAGAAAGCTGTGATTCTCCAGAGGCCATCAAAACCGGAGCAAGAGCTGAGCCACACCTTGTGAACACTGTGTAGTGTTCACTCAGAGGAGAATCAGCTCAGCTCCCTGCAGCCTCTCAAGCCTGTTTAAGACACCTCAACACCCCCAGCTGCAAGCATGTGGGGCTCACTGACTTCAACACCAAATTTCTTAACGTTGACTTGGAGCTTCTGGCTCCATGAGTAAGGAGGGGTCTCTGTAGCTTTTTCAGAAAGGAAGAGGATGCCTGAAATCTGCGCCGAGAACCAATCATGTCTCTGTGTTTCTGTGCTTCTTACTAACATATGACACTAAATATATTCCAACATACTTATGAGTCTCTCACGTATTGTCTTTTTGTTTCACAGACATACGTCACCACTGTGATTTCAATGGCCATGAAACACTCCGTTGATTTGTCACTTTCAGATGGCACACTCAAGTTCATTTCCAATTAAATAGAAGACATGTTTGCTAAGGACAGGCTGACGGCCATGCACATGCACAGATGGGGTGCAGGGGACTGGTGTGCAGACCTCATGCATATAATTTTTGGGGGGTAATGGGATCAAACTCACAACCTAGTGCTAGGCAGGCAGGCGCTTACACCACTGAGCTAAATCCTTGGCCCAGAGCTCGCCCAAACCAGAATCCCCAAGATCTTCCCCTCTCTGGCCCCTTGTCGGGCTGTGGAGCCCCTGACTGGGTCATCATTTCACAAAAGGATCCAGGTACTCCTGGTGGGCCTGGAAGAGAGAAGCCCATGAGGCCACAGCACCCTGGAAAGAGTCCAGTGGGAGCCCACGGGGCACAGATGTGCCCAGCAAGGGACCAGAAGCTCTGCCTCTGTATATATTGTCATTGAGCAGCCCAAGGCCACCACCCACCTGGACACGTGGTCCCTGGTGACACAGGTGGCCTCACTTTGATTTTTACGCGCATTTCCAGCCAAACCTTCTCTGGCATTGAGAAGCTTCTGAGGCTTGTGACCAGTACACCTGGCCAGGGCCTCTGCTCACAAGGGCATCATTTCCACCACTGTGAAATTCTTAATAATTCCCAAGCCTGAAACTTCAGTCTCAGGGGGCCCTGAGAATTCTGCAGTCTGACTTGCCTGGTGTTGCAAAGATGACTCCACGAGGCCCCCCAGACTCCCCCCAGTTCCAGATCCCTGTGTCTCTTGGGATCAAAAAACAGTGACATTGTCAGAAGATGACTGGTTTTAGGCCAAGGGCAAAAGACTAATAACTGAACCCTGGCCAAGGGAAAGGAAATCTGGCCTCTACTGAGATGTAGCTTATCAAGCAGCACCCCTTGTGTCCCGCAGGGCCCTCATGTCTCATCCCAGCCTGGTGTCCACGAGGTCTGTGTCCACTTCACCCATGCAGCCCTCGTCCCCAGGGAGGTGATGAAGAGGGTCCTGCACAAGGCGTGATTTCATTTCGCAGGGCCCAGCCAAAGGAAGCCTGTGCCTAGTGGGCAGCCTATCACCTCAGTGCTGTTTCCCCGAACTCCTAGCAAAATGAAAGGTCACAGTCTCTCAGTCTGTGAAGGAGAGGGCAGAAAGAATGGTGGTTTCACACTTCACATGGACGGACTGATTTTCCGCTGTGCACGGAAACCCGAACCATCTCATGCAAGAGCTTAGCAAATCCATAGCAGAAAACCAGGCAGCACTGAGAGGGAACTGACTTCTCCCGTGTGGCTCTTACAGACATGAATGCTTTTTATTGTTTCTCTGGGGCGAGCAGTTCTGAATCTGGCTCGGAGGGAAACAGATAACAGAGATAAGTGCAGGCCAAGGGGACAGAGGCCCTGAGGCCTGAGGGTGACACCATCATCGTTGCTGTCCCTCCAATCCCTGTGTCTCCCTTCCACCTCCTCCCTCCACCTGCCCGGGCTCCACACCTCACCTCTCCCCTCTCCCTGGCTTCCCGTGTTCCCCCTCCTCCTTCTGCTCACATGGGGACAGGGTGGCCCCGCTTTCCTTGTCTCAGTTCAAAGCACTCAACACACCACTCACTAACTCTGCAAAGAGAGCAGAAGAAGACAGAGTGGCAGCTGGGCCGGCGGGCAGCACAGGGCCCCTTCCTGCCTCTGCAGACCCCAGAGGCTCCAGGGACCAGGGCCCTTTCCGGAAGTAGTCCCCTGCACCAGGCCTTGCCTCCTTCACACAGGGCCTGGCTGGCTCTGGCTGGGCTGGGACACAGCCGCATCCAGCCCTGGGCTCTGGCTGGCTTCCCTGGAGCGGCCCATTGTCACCCACACCGCCAGGCAAGGGTCCCCTCAGCAAATGCCTCTCAGCACCTTCTTCCCACCCTCCAGGGACAGCACCACAGCTTCTCACAAGCAGAGTCTGGATGAGGAAGTCAGCACGAATAGCCAGATGCCTGGTGGGCGTCATAACCCTCTACCTTCCAGGCTCCCCAAAGGTATGGCGAGCCCTGATCTGCTAAGGAAGTGGTACTTCAGACTCCGCACTGGACCTACGACTCGGCAGAAATCGGCCTGCTCTACAGTTCAACATGTGTTCCCTGCAAGCCAGGTATGTCTGGCTCTTGCCCATCATTCTAGTAGTCTGGGAGGCTGAGGCAGGAAGATTGCAAGATTGAGCCCAACCTGGACAGGTCAGTGAGACCCTGTTCCAAAATAAGAACCAAAAAGCTTGAGGATGTAGCTCAGCAGGATGGCCTTGGATTCAGTCCTCAGTACACACATACAGAGCTAGAGAGATAGAGACAGAAGGCAATTCTCTGATACATTTAAACAGCTGACTTATCTAACTTTTTTGGTTTTTTTTCTAGGCAAATATCTTTATCCTCCCTTGATCCTATGCAGGTAACTATGTGCAATATTTACCCACATTTCTGGAGTCCTTTTATAAGCCAAAAAACTGAGAGGTTCCCAGTACTGGGCAGCTTTATTTCAGTGATCTGTGAATACCTGGTGTTTAAGACGTAGACTGCGAATCCCTGCACGACAGCAGACATCCTGTTGCACACACCGTCCTGTGGAGGAACCCCAGCACAGAGCCAGCATTTGGGAGCTGTGTGCTGTGTACAGGTCGTTAGCCCTCACATTGCAAGCCCAGGATCCGTATTATTACTATTATTTCCATTTTACAGATGAGAAAGCCAAGGTTGGGTGGGAAGTAGCCTGTTCAGCATGGCACATCTCATAAACAGTAGGCTGGAGATTGGAACCAGTGCTCTCTGCTCTTCAGAGCTCTGTGCTATGGTCCAGATATCAGCATTGGATCAATAAAGAAGAAAGAGATGCCACTTGGATTTAATCAGAACACAAGGAGGTTCTTTGTGACACTCGACAGCCAACAAACTTTATGCCTGATTTCCTCCCTGTAGCTGAGTTCTGGTTGTTTGTCCCAAGACATGTTCCTCTTTTCCTACACTTGAGTCACTTTGGGGTTATTTCCTTAAATACCCAACTCCTCCTTTGCAGGGAGTATGGGGCTGGAGACAGGACAGAGACAGGGCTGCTAATCCATTTCAGATGCTCTAAGTCACAGAACTCTTTAATAAAACGCGCGATTCCTCCTGAGAGACAAGCCCTTTCATCTTCACACTGGAAGATTTTATTTTAGCCACTCTATCATATCACCGTGCATTACACTGCGTCTTTAAGAAAAGGGAAATGTTCAAAGAGAAAGCTAAAGCAATCTGCCCCCTTTGTATGCAGTCAAAGAGACCTTCCAGGCTTGCGTCACCATTTGACAAAACAGGTTGGGAGAGCATAGAAACTTCTCAGCACCCTTATTTCACTGCTGATTCTTTTCATTTTTAAAAAATTAGCTGCCAATCTACACGTTTTCGTGATTATTCCAACAGAGCATCGCTGGTGCGACTCACAATTCGAAACAAGATTTAAAGCAGAGGAGATCAGGAATCCAATTTGGCCTGCAAGGAGCCCTCCCCCACAGCCAGCAGAGACTCAGAAAACTACAGTGCTTTTCTTCTGGGCCTCACAGGAGTGCTGTGCCTCCTCCCAGGGCAAGAACTGATATGCAAAAAGAAGGTCCAGGAGACCATGGGAACCTTTTAAAAATACAGCTCCTACTCATTTTCTCTGAGAATCTTCTTAGTAGAGAGGTATCTAAGACCAGGGCAAAAGAACCACAAGAGTATTTTTAAATGCCACCACGGAGCCACCTGTCTCAGAGCGAGGCAGAAGGAAAGACAGGCCCTGAGGTATCAGAAAAACTGTTTTAAAAATAAAAAAGGTGACTGGGCAAGATGGCGCACGCCTGTCATTCTAGTGCTCGGGAGGCTGAGGCAGGAGGATCACAGTGACGCTGAAGCCAGCCTGGACTACATACCAAAAAACCGAAAAACAGAAAAATTTTAAAATGGATAGAAAAAAAATGGAGAAGGTGGGTGGAAGCAGTTCTCTGTGGTATACTGCGCCTCCATCCTTGCCACCATGGCAGCCCCAGAGCTGGATTTTAATGGCACTGGGGTGCTCTGACAGGTGCTCAGACTCTGCTGTCCTTAGCTGTACAAAGAGGAGAGGCTTCCTGTCTGCTCCGTGGCCCTCACCCTGTTTACAGAGCCTGGAGAGACACACAGACTCAAACCTGATATTCACGAGACAACAGCAACGAGAAAGCAAAACACAAGACTTCTCCTGATCGGCCACTGACACCGAAACTCCCCAAGCAGCTCCCTTAAGTACAAATTGGCTTTTCACACCTCGCACTTAGGCAAAAATCTAAGTGTAAAATCATCTCCTCCATGCTTCCTCATGTTGGAAGATGTCTGTGCATGGCCAGGAAACATTCGAAAAAAGAAAGTACAACAAACACAATACCTGTGTCTTTAAAAAACAACTCCCCAAACAGTGACTTACTTACACAGTCCTGGACGTGCCGACGGCTTACACATCATTATGATAAAGTAAGAAGACAGGGACCCAGGGACAGATTGTGTTTTCCTATTGTTTCTAGTATATTTTTCATTTTTTAAGAAGAGAGAAATTCGGAGTTACCATATTGACTACCATCATCTAATCCAGCAAAGTAACTGCTGTGAAAGAATGGGCCATTTTATCTTTCCCTTTTAGTGTACAAGGTGTCTTTACATACAAGGAAAGCATTTTATGTGGTCATTTTAAAATTAAAGTTAAAACTGTTATTTGTAGAAGAATCCATCCATATACACACCACGCTTCCAGAAAATGCAGCAGGAACACTGAACTTTCTACAAGGCCATTTGACTTCAGTTAAAGGGAAGACACATGTGAGTCCACTCGGCAAAACTACGCTGAGGCTCAGGGAAGTGAAATCACACACAGCTTCGTGAGAACGCCCGTTGCTTGGAAACCCATACGTCTGATTAATTAAAATGTCACTGTTAGTTGATTTGCTCTAAAGACACTTTCTTAGATAGATAAACATTTTTGTTTCATTTTACTTACAGCCTCAATATCTAACTAGTATGAACACAAGGTCTCCAAAACCTGGGGGGAAAAATATCCTAAATTAAACCCAGTAGGAGTCACTGACCCACACATGTCCACTTGCCTCGGTCCTCACAGTGGAAAAGGCCGCCCCAGCCAGACTAGATACAATGAGTAGTAGTTAGTCCCTGCTCTGGGAGGAGGACGTGTGGACCCCTGAGTGCTGTCCCCAAGTTAGAGTGCTCCCTATGCAGAGTGGAAACTTTCTTTAACAACCAGAATTCTAAGCTCAGTTCTATTTACTGCAGTCACAAAATTGCCAACTAGCATCAAATAAAATGCAATGGCTTTTTACCTAAGAACAATTAATAATGAATCTATGTTCACATTTTAAAACTACACTCACAGTATGCAGAATGTGGATTCCAAAAAATTCGATTCCTTAAATCACTGCTTGGTCTCCTCATAGCTTCAGGCCTGTGGGCATTCACCTGGCTCACCCTGGCTTCCAGCAGGCATTTTGGGCGAAGCCAGAGCAGGATGCACCCCAGAGGGCCAAGCGGAAGGGTGAGTGTGTCAGTTAAACGACAGTGATGGCCACAAGCCCCTCACAACGCCGCAGAACAATGTCCTGGATCACCTGCACTCGAGCTGCAGTTGGATGTTACCACAGAAAACAGACAGAGTTTTACCCACCCTGTGATGGACAGTGCACTCCTGGCTGGCTTCCCTGGACCCAAGTCTGCACCCCCTGGGCCATGAACCAGATCCCAGGAGAGCAGCCATGCCGGCCCAATCGGGCTTTCTGGATAGACACTGTGGAGTCCCTGGGCAAAGCCTGGGTGTGGGAGGGAGGTGTGGGGGTCATGAGTAAAACCCCTCAACCTCTTCATTCGTCCAGCTACAAAAACCCACGTCTATGATCTGGCACAAAATCTCAAGCTCAACCCAGTTCCAGACAGCACGGGATGCTTCGCAGTAAACATGGAGGCACCTGGCTTAAATAACCAGAGTGATGGATTTCCCATCTCTTAAAGAGTATTCATTTTTAGCAAATTGCATTTCTTTTACAAAAGTCCCACCTGCTCTTAATTAAGGTGAAAAATTTTCAAATTCAGGCAAACATAAAACAATTTTATTGTGGAGCGGGAACACCCTCAGTGTGGAAAAAGTACAAGAAATTTCCAAAACATTTTTTTCAATGGTAATTAACCACCTTATCTTTGAGGACCTGAGATAATTAGCGGTTGACTGTAATTTAATGAGGTTAAATTCACCCGCGTTCTTACACTGATCTCCCTGGATGTCACTTTGATTTTCTGCCCAACACAAAACTCAGAGCAAGAGAAGGGAAAGGTCACTTTTGCAGGCCCAGGGGGTCGATGGCTCTCTCTCTGGGTTCCCTTAAAAGCTCCAGAGCACATTTCAGAGTGGCTCCGAAGTGAGCTCACAAAAGGTCAATTCCTCATTTTCATTTCTCCTAAAGATTCTAAACTCGACATTTTCCCATCAGGTCTGGAGAGCTATCTTTTGCAGAAAGTTATTTGTTATGCCAGTAAAATGTGATGTAAAACAACAACTTTTTTTTTTTAAGTCAAAAACTGGCCAGGCAGGATCTGTAGCAGACCCCTGGCTCTAGCAACAGACTCCAATTCAGACCTGCTAGGGATGGTGGCAGAGGCCTACAGTGCCCGCACTCTGGGAGGCTGAGGCAGGGGTGTCACACGTTCAGGTTCAGCCCAGGCAATGTAGGAACTTGGGGAGACCCTGCCCCAAAATAAGAAATGTTTAAAAGGCCATGGGTCACAGCTCAGTTGAAAGGCCTGGTTTGAATCCTCCTCTTTATGGGGTGGAGCTTTTAATCTAAACGATACAGTTCATTTTAAACAGTTTCAAACTAACAGAAAGTGGCAAAAATGTGACTGTGATCTCAAAAATAGAGCACAGACATTGTAGTATATAGAAGGCCTTTCAGAAACACTTGAGTTGTAGCAATTGTCCAAAAACGCTACCTATGACAAAAATGAACTGAGGAAGAGAGAGAGAGAAAAGAAGAGCAAAGCAAGCCAGACGGACAGACAGCCAGGATGGGCTGCAACCCTCCCCAGGCTCTCCCTGCTGCCCATCACCCGAACCATCTGCTAATCACACCAAGTTTTGGGGAGAGATGGTGGGTACCGGGCAGCGGTGAGCAGCTTGCTGAAGAAAAATGACCCGCTGCACGCTTGAGTGAGACAGTCTAAAGGGAGCCTTTTTGCACTAATTAGGACCCATTTTAAGCTAGTCGTTTAGCCACAGCACCGCGCCACCAGCCACAGGAAGGTGCAGCAGGGCTAACCCCGAAAGCAAAAGGTACAGACCCAGCTAAGGATGCTCTGTGTCATCCTAAGACAGCTGGCCAGGCCACTTCACGAGGGAGGCACTCTGGGTGCAGGCCAGCCCCGCAGGAGCACGGCGGAGGCCAGGGACAGACCCCAGGTGGCACCAGCCACACGGGCACAGACAAGGCCCATGGCACTCAGCACCCTGCGTGGGCCCCAAGGTCAAGCAAGGCTGCCTCTACCACATGTGTCAAGCCCCGGGCCCCTCAGCCACTCCAGGTCTCCCTGTGACCAACGCACCTGTGAGTGACCCTGCTGGCCGTGCGGTAGGCTCCTGTCCTGCTCCTCAGGGATCCCGCTGCCGTCTTCACCCTTCCCCAGGGCGCAGAGGAAGGTGGGCCCCAGCGTAGCCCCGTGTATGCAAAGAAGGAGGGAAGCTGGTTTTCTCTCAGGAAAACACACACAGGAAGGGAGTCTGCTTCCTGTCTCAACCAAGGCGAGTTCAGAAATTATCTGGACCTCTGATTTGTCAGGCTGGTCTAGGAGAGGGGAGTTGGTTAGCCCTCCCCAAAAGGCAGAGGGAAAACGGGCCCAGGCATGGAGAGAACGAACCGGGTCCCCACACCAGGGCCCTGAGGTTTTCAGCACTGTTTACGGTTTCCCACCAGGTGCTTGGCTGAGGCATCCACCCATTTATCAGAGTCAAACAGGAGAAACAGAAAAACTTCAGCTGACCCATGTCACCAGGGACCTACAGATGGGGCCTCAGTCTTGCTCCCTGTGCTCCCTTAGGATAAACACCAGGATCTCCCAAACAGGTGCAGGTACCCACTTCTCTGCAGGGAAGCTTCCAGCGAAGATTCTTCCCTCTCACGTTTAATGTGCATTGTTTCAACAGGGCTTAAACATGTCTGCTGCCATATCCCTACACTCTCAGGAGCTGGGCTGAACAAGAGCAAAGCCACGGCTCTGAAAATCGAGGCTCGAGGACAAGGAGGGCAAGCAACGGAGAGGGAACCAGAGGCAAAGAGCCTTTTAAAGCCACGCGAGGAACCCTGACACAGGACACGAGGTAGCGATAACCACAGCCACAGGTGCCGCAGCTTTGCTGCTGTTGCTGTATTTTGAGTTGGGGCGCCCTAAGCAGTCCTGTCCTCCCTGGCTGGATTTTAAGAACATGGGTGCATGGGGGCAGGATTAATAGGAATTCTCTGCAACTCAACCAAAGAGTGCAAACTCGAGCCATCTCTTAGAGATGTGAAATGGAGTCTGTGTCAGTCCTCCTGTGCTCCTGGGGGTGGGTCACTTGTTCCTCTTAGGGCTCACGTCGTCCCTGTGAAGGGGCGTCTACACTACACACAGGAAATGGAAGTCCTCTGAAGCCTCTGCAGCCAGGCAGGCTCGGCAGCAGCTCTGAATTGAAGCCAGACACCATGGCGTCCCCCAAACACCTGTCAGGCGTAGAAACAAGGTGGCAGAAGCCTTGGGCTCCCAGCGAACCCCACTGGCTCCCAGTCTGCTCTGTGCAAGCTGGAGGCACTTCCACAAGTCTCTTTTAGCCTGGAACAAGAACCCATACTCATTTCGCAAAGGAGTTGTCTCCTGATTGCAGAAACTAGAGAGGGAAATGGTAATACCGACGGTGCCAGCCCTGATGCAGCCTTGAGGACTGCATTATGTCACATGAGATGAAAAATTAGGCACAGTATCCACATCACTCGTGCCTAAACTTACACCTGTAATTAACAAAGCAATCCCTTCTGTTGTAGTAAGAGGTAAAAAAATAAAAGAGGGAACTTTATTACTCAGGTCAGGTTTGCTGGATGTTAAAACTGCTCCACACTGCCTCCCTTGCTGTCCTGTGGCTCGCTGGATGCATGCCCTGTGTGTGTACACACGCCAGGTCTGGATTTCCTACCTACAGCAACGCAGGTAAACCTTAAAATACAGGATCTCTCAAATTCCGACAGGCCTGGCACTTCTATTGACAATATGCTACTCCATTAACCAAAGTGAGTCACACACCTCCAAATCCAGGGGGAAATAAATTCCTCAACCAAAGAATCACACGCCCAAACAGGGTCTCTGGTCAAGTGAAGAAAACGTGGCTGAAGGTCCTGCAGGGCTCCAGAGATACCGGCCAGTATCCTCACTGTGACCTTAGTATTTCAACAAAGGAGATGGCTCCAAGTGCAGCCAGTTTACTTTCTCTAAGCAGATCACACTCGAACTTCTCCAAAGAGTGCAGTGTAACACAGCCAGTTTCACACACAGCCTGAGGTCTCCTGAGAGGTGGTGATGCCGGCTAGGACTCCGATGCCCCTGAATCTGAGAGTGAAGTGGGTTTTCCAGCTACAGCAATTCTCAGCAAGACACAGTCTGCTCAAACAAGCAGCCGGGAGGCTCGGCCCAGTCCTCAGCTCCCACCATGATACAAATGGAGAAAAAAACAGCACAGAGTGTAGTGAGGTGTTCTGGTCACTCACTCGTAAAAAGGGTATGACCATGTATATTCACAGGGAAATCTGCAACCGGATACCTTCTACCAAACCTGATGGCATGGGTTTTTCACCATGACACCCTCACTTGTACGTATGAGTACAAGTTATTTCTGTAATGTTCTCTGCATAGTATGAGACACCAAGGTAACCTGGGGAACCTTCTGTCAGGAACATTTATCCCTGTTTAAACTTTGAGCCACAACCCAAGTAATCTGATTTGTCAATGGAACAATTCTGATGCATGCAAATATATATAACACTCAGAGTGTTAGTTTTAAAATTCCCATGTAAGAGATGAATCCAATTACCCTCATCCACCAAACATCTCCCAACAAAGAAAATCAAGATGTGGGCATTTCTCTCCTCCCCTTTCAGCTCAGAATCAAAATGAACCAACCTTTAAAATCATCTGAATTTCTATGAAAGTCAAAATCTTAACAGTATTTTTTTCGGATTTCCATAAAATTTCCTCTTTTGATCGAAGTTGATATGAATAGTAAGGTCATATTTCTCCAGCACCATTTTGTCTCCAGAAATTTAAAACAAGGTACCCTAAAACTGAAAGGCACCTCAGCAGGGAGGAAAAGCTTTCTCTGGTGTGTCCTGGACAATGCCCGCATTAAAGTCCCCCCAGCTGGGCTGCAGCCCCAAGAGGGGTGACTGCACTTGAAAGCTGTCTGGGCTGAGCGCTCTAGGGGTGCTGCAGGCGGAGGAGAATCTGTGTCTCTGAGTTAGAAGGCTTAGGGGATCCCTTAGAGGTCACCAGGGCTGCTTGGCACACTGTGAATCTACATTTCAAGGGATCTGCAAGCCCGGTCCCCTCTACTTATCCAGGCTTTTCCCCAGTCGCTCTCAGGACCGGAGCGCGGCGAGGAAAACACTGGCTAAGTTTTCAAAACCAGGGCGATTCCTGTTTTACAGAACGCGACTCGGGCTCCATCTCAGAAGGAGAGTCCTGACTTTTGGAGTCTCGCTGTCCCTGAATTTAAATGTGTAAAGGTGACCAGCGGTGGGGCACCCTCCACGCGGTCCCAGCCCCAGGCGGTGGCGGCCACCGCGACCGAAGCCAGCGCGTCCCCTGCGCGCTCCACACACCGGGACAGCGCACCTCACCGCCCGCCTTCCTTCCCTTTCTGCTCTTCAAAATTAAAAAGAGAAAGAAAAAGTCCATCCGTGACCCCAAGTTTTCCTGCTGAAATTCAATCCAAAAGCACTCACATGGACTCCTGTGTCGCGCTCTGCGGGCCAAAACGGATCCTCGGGGCGCAGCGCGACCAGGGCGCCGAGCTCGGGAGCCCGCGGGTGCCGCCGGGCCGGGCGCCGTCGCCGGGTCTCCGCGGGCCGGGGCGCGGGCACCTGTCAGCGCGCCCCGCGAGCTGGGCGGCGGGCTGCTCCCGGCTCCCTTTCACAATGACTTCCTGAAGTTGCGCGCTTTGTTCCCCATTTCCCCGCCGCGCGCCCGCCCCCCGCCGGCTCCGACCTGGCGTCGCGCTCCCGGCCGCCCTGGCTCCCCGCGCGCAGTGCCACCCGCGGCAGCGCCCCTATCCCCGCGCGCCCCAAAAACTTCGCGGGTGCCGATGCCCGGCCCGCAGCGCGCGCGGCTCGGCCGCCCCGGGACGCGAACCAGCGCACCAGGACGCACAGGGCTTGAGTCCTTCCCGTCAGTTCATCCGTCCATCCGTCAGTCCGTCTGTCAGTCCCGTCCCCGCCCCGCCACGACCCCACTTGCCGGGGTGCAACTCCGGGCCGCGCGCAAACTTTGCGCCCCGGGCGGCGCGGGCCATACCTGCCGGGGCCGCCGCCCGCCTCACCCCGCTTGCCCGTGCGGGGCCCTCGCCGCGTGCCGCCGCCTCCCCCGCGCTCCCCGCGTTGCCGCGCCTCCTCGCGCCAGCGCCGCATCGCCCCGGGCCGCCCCGCTCGGCCGCGACGGCGCGGGACCCGCGCGTGACCCGTGAGGGCAGCGCGTGAAGATCGCGGGCGGGGACGGGGACGCGCACCACCGTGCGCCCTGCGCGCTCGCCCCGCCGGATCCCGAGAGCTCGGACTCTGGGAAAAGATTTCCCCTGGTGACTGGCAGTGCCCGCCGCCGCGCCCAGCTCCACGCCCGGGACCGAGTTCCTTGTCACTACCGGGCTCGGGATCCACTGCACCAGTGCCCACCCGAGGGCGGGAAGGGAGACTCCGCAGTGTGGAAAGAGCGCTGTCTTTTCCCAGACAACCAATGGAATACCGCTTGGCTCTCCCCTCCCACCTGCCCAGCACAAGTTCGGATGGGGCTCTAGGGGCTGGCCATGCATGTGTGGGGAGCGAGTCAGCGAGGGCAGCTCCTGGGGCCCCTACAAGTCTTCGCGGGGACCCCTGGGCTCTGATGCTCAGTCCAGCAACAGCGTGGGCACCCTGAAGTCCACAGTCATGGTGGTGTGGCCGCCTGGTCCCCATGGGCCCCGGGCGGTAGGGGAGGGCACCCTGTATGAGGCCCAAAATAAAGATTGGACCAGCCCTGAGAGCACAGTCACATGGAAAAGGGCACCAGAGTCAGAAGCAGGCAGTGTGGGCAACAGGAACAGGCGGAAAGTGCCACTTGGGGTGCCTGAGTGGCCGAGGACTGAGCCATCAGCAAAGCTGCATCCCGGCCCATGAACCTCAATGTCCTGCTTTCTGTCTGCTACCAAGTCCCTTCTACCTACAGGGACCCAGCTGACACTTGGACACTTTTTTCCTGGACCACTTAGGCAGCACTTGCTGTGCTGTGTTCACTTGGGTAGATGGCCTGCTCTGCCCAAGCTAACTGACCGCTGCTACCAAAGCCAGAGGAGGTTGGGCCAGCCGGAGGCCGGTCCCGGCTCCCAGTCCCTTCTCCACTCTGTGGCTTGGGCTCCTAAGCATGCCTGCCTGCAGGAGTCCACTTCACCAAGCCCAGTGGTCCTCAGCTTTCAGCAAGGCAGAAGGCACGAGGCTAACAACACAGCTGGGAAGGGGCTTATGGCATCCCCAGTTTGTGGGTGCAGAGGTCCCCTGAGCCTCAGGGGTGTCTCTGCGGTATGTGGGTCTACCCTTGAAGGGCTCAGGCCAGGCCTTCCACCAAGGTGTGATATTGTCCTAGGTAGTGGAGCCCTCCCAGCTGTTTCTCCTGAGTTGGTTTCCTGCTTCTGAGTTGGTGGCTGTAATGTCACCTTTCTCTTGCAACTGCTGGTCAGTTGTGGTCCTTGGGGGAAGTGCTTGCCCTGTGCCTGGCAGTGGAGGGTTTTGTAAGTAGTGAATGTCCCTTATCACCCTGCTGGCTGGCTGTGCCAACCACAGGGAGCAGCGTGCTGGGTCTCCAATTCCACTGCTCCTTCTTTCCCCTGCCTCCGAGCAGCAGCTGGACTTGGGGAGAATTGAGCTGCAGCCCGGATTTTGAGGATGTCACCAGCCCAGAGAGATCCCCTAAAGCTGGGAATCTCTGCACCAAGAAAAGTACCTGGGGACAGAAAATGTGTTGGGAGTAGCAAGAATAGTATCCTTTTAACAACACCAGGTCTACAGTGATTTGTTTCATTTATAAATTAACTATACGGACTGCCATTTTCAGAATGTTAAAATGCATAGTGTTAAAATATAGTTTAATTTACTTGGGTGTACTTGCTAATTTACTAACTCTTTTGAAAGCACAGTGTCAAAAATACATAAATAAAGACCACTGAAGGAATTAATCAGAGATTCCTTACTTAGAAAGTGCACTGGAAGAGAAGTTAAAGGAGGGTAAGCTTTAGAAAACAGGGTGACTGAGGTGCTAGGAGAGGTTGACAGTTTTGTTTCAGCAAATGATTTGACCTCTTCCAGCTTAACTTTCTCAGCAGCAGGCATTTCTCTTTCCAAAGGGGTGTTGATGGGATTAGGAGACGCTGAGGGAAATCCTGTCTGAAAGTACCTGTTCTTATAAGCATAGTTTGCTTCGATTTTTATAAATCTGTTAAGCAGCAGTGATATTTCTCATTTCTCTCCTTCAATGATTAGGACACAGCAAGAATGTTTTCAAATAGCAGGAATGGGTTTGTGTTGTTGTTATTGTTTAAAAATAGCTAGGTATGATGATGCTCACTTGTAAGGCCGGCACTCTGAGAGGCTGAGGCAGGAGGATGGCAAGTTTGGGCCCAACATGGGTAACTCAGTAATTTAATGAGCTTCTGTCTCAGAATAAAAAGTAAAAAGGGCTGGGGATGTAGCTCATTGAGAAGGCGTAGGTTCGGTCCTAAGTGTGTGTATTTTAAAAAGCCGGTTATCTTTCTCTAACGTTAACCTAGAGCAGCCTGGGTAGTTCTGTCTGGAAAGTCACGTGGGCATGAAAAGGAAGGCAGGACGAGGGTGAAACTGTAGCCTCACCAACTGTCCCTTCAGTTTCTTTTTCCCGGTTTTCCTGTGCGCCAGCTTCTGCTTCTGTCAGCTGTTGGCTCCGGCAAGGTGCTGGCCCCCTTTTCTTGGGCTCCTCCCCTGGGGCCTGGTTTGTGTGGGCACCAGCTCTCTCCCACCACTGGAAAAGCAGAGCCAGGGAACTGGGGAGACAAGACTCCCCTGGGCGGTGCCTGCCTGGGAAGGGCACCCCTGGGCCCTCATCTGCCCGTCTGCAAGGCACAGAAATTCACACTCGCCACTGGCCTTTCCCATCCAGGCCCGACTCACACAGCAGGGATCCGTGCAGCTGAGCCCCAAGTGCTTCTGGCTTCTGCAGAGCTCTTTCTCTTTATTCCTGTCGGTCTTTGTATGAAAAACGTACCTCAGTTTTCAAAAGCAGTGAATTTTTGTCAGGGTCTTTGGGTTAGAAGACATCAGAAGCTAAACTGAGTCAGATATTGTGACTTGGCAGAGAAGAATTTGCTCGGAAAACTTTCTCTTGGGGAGCATTAGAAATGTTTGGGGTGAATGGAGGAAAGGTGAATAGTCCCCTCCCCTCAGTGGACCCAAGTGAAAGAACAGAGGCAGCTTGGGCCATGCTTGGTTGGTTCTGTGCCAGCAGAAGGACTGAGACACTGTATCAGCCCAGCTAGCCAAGGGGTGTTTCCCAGCTTTCCCCACTATGCAGCGGGGCCGGAATTCCTGATGACATTGTGCTCAGTGCTGGTCCTTGGAGAGGGTGACTCCCCAGGGCTACACAGTAAGCTGAGAGCATGGCAGGGGTGGGGGGCCATGTTGGAGAAAAACCGTTTGGATCCATTCTCTGTGAGTAGCTAGGATTCTCCATGCCTCAGTTTCTTGTTCTGGAAAATGGGAATGGGTATGGAAAATGAGTGTTATTTACTAGAAGGACAGTAATACCTTCCTCAAGAACTAGGAAATGTGAAGCATCTTTCCAGGTCCCTGGAAGATACTAAGCACACTCCTCGGTACTCTGAGGAATCCTGTTTCCAGGTGGCTGGACCAGGATGCCCATCTTGGTCTATTCTTTCAACCATAGTGCTGCCCTCAGTTCTCAAAGCCATCATTCCAGCCATCACGGCTCCTCAGCATCTTCCCTGGTCTCTGCCTGGCACCCTTGCCAGCTGACCCCCACACTGCCTGTCTGTTTCCTGGGTGAGAATTGAAATTTCTCAAGCACCCACCTCCTTTACTCTCCCCATCATGGTTGGAAAGCTTTTTCTTTTTCTTTTTTAATTTTTTTTTTATTTTAAAGAGAACAAAACAAAACAGAACAAAGTAAATCAGAACAGAGCAATGCAAGCAACACAGGGCTTCAAAGCAAGACAACAGGACACCAACAGTGTTGGACAGCTTTTTATTCAGGAAGTTTTACATTTTTTATTCCTCTTAAGGCCAAGTGTTTATGCTTTCCAATGGACATGTCTAGGAAACATTAAGGTTCCTGAAAAGACCACAGAAATTTAGGCTAGTTATTTCTGTGCTATTACAGCAAATCCTTCCTTTCGGTGTTTGCAGATATTACCTCTGCTGTCTTTGAAGAAAGCAGGGTGATTTGGGGGAAGAGCTTGAGTCGTGTAGGGTGTTACAGGAGAAAGGATCCCGGAAGTCCTGGTTTTTCTCCTGGCCCCCTACAAAAGGATGCAATGATCTGGCTTCACTTCTACAGCAGGGAGAACAAACCCTGCTTCGCGAGGTGGCATGAGGTGAGAGGAGTATGAATCCCCGTGCTAACAGTGCCCATCTCCTCTCCTCTCCCCTGCTCGGAGGCGCAGACAGAGATTCTTGGAGCTGAACGGAGAAGAGGCATTCTGGAAAGGTGCTTGTTCCCAG